AAACGTGATGTACGATTTTTGGGCGGTGGTTGATGAAAGTGTTCCAAAATGTAACATTAATTTCTTACGACCTAATACGTTTGACTTTTTTCAGTATATATTATTTTATAACAAGTAGACTGTGTGTTGTTTCTTTATTGTTGAATTATATCACCAACAATTCGCAGACACCTACTGTAAAGAATCCGGCCCATACATAAAACCTGACAGTGAAACAGTGTGTAACAGAACTACATTTTGACCTTGTTTGATGTTTCATAGGTAGTGTGATACCGCCAAAAACTGTACTTTTTGGGAAGGGTATATGACAGTCATTTTTGACATAAGATATTCACACATTCATATCATAATCATGTATTGATATCTGAAATTTATATTTTCAAAGATGATGATTGGAAAACAAAGGAATATATATAAATTGGGGCACCAGTACTACCATTTGTGGTGTCTTGTAACAGGTGAGAATCCACAAACACAGAGGTTAGTGAATGAAACCATCCACGAGACCGAGACAAAACAATCAAGAATAAAATTCGTCTGGAAAAGTGATACAATTCACGTGTATACAAGTTGCTTCCACAACATATCCAGAAAAAGAAGATCAAGTGTATGAACAGTAGCTAACAAGAGACAAATAGTGCTGGGCGATTAACTTGATTAATATAATTGATTATCACTCTTTGTTGGTTAGTGTCTCACGTAAATTCCTCGAGTAAGGAAGAATCGATTAATGTCACGAAATTAACCAGCTAATCGAAAACAGGGTTTCTGGTTATTCCAACTATCCAAGTAATCAGAATATTGTAATTATAATTTCTCATTATTATTTTCAATTAATTAGAGGTTGTTCAGCATCGAATAGTGTTATTACTTACGAAAAAAATAATAAACTAGTCAAGATTAGTAATTCATGTTATTAGTATTTTAGATTAATCCATCTATCCAAGTAATCAAACTTAATGGTGTGCAACGACATGCATTCTGCTTGTACAAAACTCTCGAAGGTGAGGATGTGCTCTATTTGTCATTGGTTACATAACTGGCCAGGATGATGCCCGTTGTTCATGATTACCTTGTATTTCTAAATAATAGCTTTAGCTCAGTATGTATTGGTTACTTATTACAAACTACAAACTTAACTAGTATTACTTAAAGTAAGGTTGCTTTGATAAAAGAGTTGTGGTAAATCAATATTCATCATTCTTTACTTGCTGAAAAAATATTGGTAAATGAATAACTTGCTCATTTAACTGTTTGTCAGAAATGACTAGACATGGACTAATAACAATTAACACTTTAATAATACCCAATACTTGAATAAGTTATAGGAAAATGTTGTCAAAATAAATTGTTATTTATTTATGGTAAAAAGGTAAATATGTTTCATAACATCTTTTTGTAACTTTATAATCGGTTAGTTTTACCTCACGTAATTAAGAGACAAATTTTAAATAGAATCACCAAACAGAAAATAATCAACTGTTCAAAACTACTGTTTCAGATCATTGCTATTTTTTATTATTGCAACTATCCAAACAATCAAATATTTGCTATTACTACTGTTGCGTATTTCTGCTAGACGTTTACTACTTGATGATGCTAGATAAGCCCAGCAAAACATAGTTTAAAACTTGCAGTTGTCAAAAAATATTTACTCGTTTACCCGTAAATAAATGAATAACAATATGTAATATCGTTAAATCATCAATGAACCCCTTCACACCACGATATTGCTGTAAGCTGTATTTTGAATTTTGTAATTTGTTAGTTAGATAGAGGGTGTAATACGCCTAGAAAATTTACGTTGAAGTCAAGTTTATCTCGCACATTCGAAGCTAGATTATAAATACGAGAATAGTTGAGAGCTAGTTAAGATAGATAAACTTTTTTGTTTTTGTTTTTAAGATAGAGATTTGAATCAGTCAATGTGTGTTTTTATCAAATATTTGGGTTCTTATTTGTTTTCGTGCTTACCAAGTTACTTTGTTCAAGTTGATACAAGACTCAGTTCGAAACCTTTTACAGAGTGAATGGATAGAATAGTGAATAGCAAACCATACATCTTGCTGCCAATTTAAAAGAACCAGCTTTGACAACTATTAAGTAACCTTATAGCTGAGAGCCATCACAAATATCAAACATTGATAGCTACCTTATTCAACAGGCTCGGAGTGTTATATCAGAAAGAAGTATCTGGAGCAAAGCTTTAGAGCAGGATATGAAGGAACGTAAAAAACTGTAACCAAAACTTGCAGAGTGTTTGTAAAGGCTTGCCCAATTATTCTTCCCGGACGCTTCTCGTGAAATGATGGATATGTTAATACGTGACAAGTTTATTGATACCATAACAGACGAGGAAATGGGAATTAGACTGAAGCAAAGTAGATGTACATGCTCAAAGGAAGCTCTGCAATTGATGATAGAACTAGAATCAATTAAGGTTGCATATAAACTAGTAATAATGCCATTTTGAAGTTGTGGGGTCATCAAATTGTGTAATGTTGAAACATAAACTCCCTCTTGGATGACGAGGAACCCGCTTTGAGACTAATAATGTTTGGAGACAGCTTGAATGGGTAATGAAGAAAAACTTTAATATAAGTTCAACATAACAGCAAATGTATAACGTTTCGACAAGGTACCTGATGATGACAAAACAAATTCCATTAATCATTCAGATCTATTGTGTGGTGAAATTCGATGAAACATATCTATACCTTGATAACATACCTCAAGCAGTTGGATAACGAAATGGATATTTATGATGTCATAATGATCAAGTCATTGGATGCAGAATCTATGAACTTCAGTGTTGAAACCGTCATCCTTGTATGCTAGTTGGATTATCGAGAGATTTCGTGCAGGAGATATGTGCTTTGGACAACCTTACGACGGAAACTTTTGCATTTGAAAATATGTTGCAGGACTATTGTCAGGATGCACAGGCATCAGGTAGAGCACTGCCAGAAGTGGCGACATGAACTTTAAGGACGTGGTGAGGCTCCAAAATCGTTTAAATGAATATAATATCACGATACCTCCGCAGTGGTTGATCTAAGATTTTCAGGAAAGAGAGGGTTAAGTACCAAATAAGGACCGTGGGTCCAGGGCGGGATTAAGAACTCCTGCTGGAAGAGAGACCAATATCTTTTTAGAAATGGAAACATGATATATTTGATGTTTTAACGTATTTTATGTTAGCATTATATTTGACAGGAATAGTTGGGAAATCAATCACCAAGCCATAAAGACGGAGAAGTACACCGAAAAGGCTCCGTATAAATCCGCCTATGCACAGTAAACATCCTTTTTTTCTCCAATAAGTGAATAATTCAAATAAATATAGCGTGTAACATATAGTGAGTTAGTACCAGTGTTTGTTATTTTATTTGTTAGATCTAAAATACATCATTAACAAAATGTATATTTTGAAATTATTGTTGTATCCATTAATACAGTGGCAATAAAATATTGAGCTACAATAAATTGGTGACTGAGGTCCTCAGCTTCCATGGGCAATGATACCAGGTAGGTTGATCCCCCACCTCTACGCCTGGTGAGGGCTGGTTAATACCTGTTAAGCATTTAAGGCTGCCATGTGCTACATGTATATTTTAGAAATCACTTCATTTTAATTCCATAAATGCAACATTTTCTGGGGATCATATCTCATCATCCACATAGAATTATCATGTTACTTTTGCTTACTCAGTCTTTGCCTTTTTTTCTAAAAAGCATAATAATAATTATTATACTTATCCGCTACCTTTTCAGGCTTTTCTCAACATCCTTTGGCAATTATTACTGACAATCATATTTTAAAACATTTTGTTAGAAACAAACATTAAACTAAAAGTGAGGATCTTTCTGGGATTCTTTGATCAATACAAAAAACATAAAATTAAGATTTCCAACCGTCAGGCTTCTCAGTGGCTGAGCGGTAAAATCTGAAGGCTTATAACGCTAAATATATGGGTTCGATACCTGTGATGGGCAGTGCTTAGATAGTCCATTGTATAGCTTTGTGCTTAACAAATAAACAAACATAGTTTGGATGTCGTATAGTGCAGTGGTTATTTGTTACTGCCTTAAACAAACGTGAATGTTTTCATTTCTCACTGTATCAGCTTAGTTATTTATCCTTTTATAAAAAGTGTTTAATACCAAGTTTTCTTATTTAATAGCAGCAAACTAACTTTCAGTATACAATAAAACAAACAACAATTTTCTTTAAACATTTATTAATTTGAAGCCCTAATACATCACATCTATAAATTAGAGAAGCTAATCTATACAAATCAACTATGCACTATTATTTTTTTTATAACGTAATATATAATAAAAAGCCACCTATATCAGTGAACGACACCTATGACTAGATTTTACGTAGACAGTGTTAAATACAATCTTTATCGAAGCGTTTTGTTATGATACGTCAAACAATTAGTCATAACTATACAACTATTTCATTTTCATCCCTCAGATGAAAACCAGTTTCAATACCCTCAGTGGGCAGAGAACAAATAGTACATAGTAGTAGCTTTGTCCTTTAAAACAAACAAGCAATCATCTCTCAGTATATATTATATATATATATATATACACACACTTATATGTGTGCGTGTTTATTAGTCATTTGTTGATCTTTTTCAAGAACTAATTTACCAAAGAAGAAAAAGAAAACAGTGAAGAATGTTAAAAGTGAAGTTATTTAAAGAAAACAAACATCTTATAAAGAAATATATATATCGAGACTATCATTATTATTAATTAATTAAAATTATTAGCCCCCTAGTGGCTCAGCAGTAAGTCTGCGAACTTGTAATGTTAAAATCGGGTTTCGATGCCCGTGGTGGACACAGCACAGATAGCCCATTGTGTAGCTTTGTGCTAAACTACGAACAAACATAATTATTAGAATACAAAATCGAAAACTTAGAATAGAATAGGCATTAATAACAAAGAAAAAAAAGACTTTAAAGTGAATACATTTAGTCAACAGCATACAGCTAGTCAACAGCACCTACCGCCACCTCTTGAGCTACTCTTATCTGATCAAATAGTGGGATTTAACCATTACTCTTATAGCGTACCAGCAGAAACGCTTTAGCGGCAACAGTTCGCGAACCATGAACCCTTGGACTCACAGTCCAGTCCATGCACGCTAACTACCAGGCCTCGCTAAGCATAGCTTTGAAAGAAATGTCTTTTTATTTGATTTTCTATAAAACAGAAGAGCTTAAAACTTATAACTATTTCAGGAAATCCGTATTGAAATGTTCACTAGCGTACACTAGATTTCCTACTCCGTACTGAAGTAGACTCAATTTCCAAGTCTCACACATTCAGATTCTCTAAAAGAAATATGTGCCCGAAGAGAGTAAAACATAAGTTATATTTCTAGATTTACAATCAGCATCTCGTTGATAAAAGCAGCATTTTTTTCGCAGGTCCATAAATGTTCGTTTGTTAAGCACAAAGCTACTAAATGGGCTATCTGTTCTGTGCCAGTCACGAAATCCGGTTTTTAAATAATATACTTTCTATTTTGTATAATTTGTGCAGAACATACTCTAAATTTCGTATACTTACAAAAAGCCATCAGTTTTTAAAGTCACTTACGGCATAAAAAATGTATTAGACTTAATAAAAAGGAATAAATGAGTAACATAATAACTTTAAGAAGGCGTAAATCGTGGACAAAATATCACTTTCTACCGTTAATAAAACTTTTTAAAACCAGTTTTCGTAAAGATATCTCGATATAAAACAAAACTGTTTTGGGGTAAAACAAATATTATATATATATATATATATGTTCAGTGCATATGCCCACTGATATCTTCAAAACACCCGCATTTTATATATATCTTTAATAAAACAAAAACGCATACATCTACTACATACTTAGTAATATTTAACACACATGCTCAGTGACGTATTTAAATATGTGAATTCTACCCATATAGATATAATTGTAAAATAAATAAATATGTACGACAAATCTTGTGCTGAGCAGTTTTTGCGCTATTGACTAGTAAAACTACGGCAAAAACAACAAACAGTAACAAATATCTAACCAGATAATCATAAATATTCGCAAGAGCTTGCTAGAGTGATACACTAGATATCCTGACAATGTTGTCACGTTCTCCTGTCGTCTAGTATTCAAAATCTTCCAAACGTTATGTGTAAACATTTTCTCAATATAATACCCTTCCTAAATACCCTTTCAGCACAATTTCGAAACATATATTTCTCAACAAATTTTCTACACATAATTAAGCTAAATATCGTTTAACCTAATTAATATTAAACATTATTCCATTCGTTCTTATTTATCGTGAGTGGTGAGTCCACGCAAATAATCTGATTTGATTGGTGTCAACTTCACTGGTCGTAGCACGCTGACAGTCTCAGGTCTGTCAGCGATGTCATGACACTACTTTAGTTATTTGCGGTGTTAGGTGAAGAGAAACTGTATGTTGAAGGAGACGTGGTGAATTGAGGAAGATTGGATGGAAGCAGGAGTCTGCTGTTTTCCACTGGATGATAGCTGATCAGGTGGTGGTTGAGGCCTCCTGAGCTGTAAAAGACACTGAGGCAAAACTTACACGTGTAGGTCAAACCATTTAAGTTACCGAATGAAGCTTCACCTCCAGTTAACATTCTGGAGTGAATTAAACAGTGTTTTCTATAATTCTCCGAATTTCGAAAAGTCTTCCCACAATAACAGAAATAACCCAGATCTGTGATTTTGGTTTCTTTTTGGTCGTGTTTTTCAAGACAGGCCTGTTGGGCAAACCTATTACTTTTGGCTTGTTCCTCTTCCCCTGTATTGCACGACTGCATTGGACCCGATAATATAGATTCAATGTTGTGCGTACAGGATGGCTTTGGGTGTGTGGCAGGAAATCTAGTAATTGTGGTTTCCGGCGGAGAACGGGGTAGCTGCCAGCAGAGAGGAGAGATAAGATCCGTAGGACAGCCGTACACCTTCTGAATGCCAGAACAGTAACATTGTGAGTGGGTCATACTGGTGCAGGCTTTCCCATATTGGAGGAAACTTGTTGGTTTGTTAGTTTCTGTAATTGTACTGTGGTTTTGGACATGTCTTATGAAATTTGTTTTTCGTTCGAACTTTACCCAGCATACTTTACACTCAAATTGCTCTCCCCCTGTAGGTTTTTTAATGCAAAGTTTGTGCTCCGTAGGACCATACAATGGCTTAGTGGTGTTAAGAGCTGAAAAGGCCTTCTTCTTAGAGCTGGAGTGTTTAGCGGGCTTTGCTCCTGCATATTTCCGAAATTTGTGACAGCGACTGTGAGAAGCCAATTTAGCTGGGCAGTTGAACACTTTGTCACAGTTCGGACAGCGGTATTCTACTGGGATTATGCTGGAACAGCGGTGCTGAGCGAGACAGAAAGCATTGATAAATGCTTGCTTACACAGTTGGCAGGTGTAGGCTCCCAACTTGTTGTCGATCTTGGCGAGTTTGGATTTGGCTTCCTTACTAACCGAAATAATGTTAAAAGTAGGGCCGATGTCCCCTTGTTTCATGGATCTGCTAACTTTATTTTCATCATCCTTATTTAGAATAATTCTTCTTGAAACTGAAGATACTTTGCGATCATAGAAAATCAGAGAATTATCAGTTTTTTCTTTCTGTGCAATTTCTGAACTCAACTCAACTTCGTGACTCATTGACGGAGCTCCCTCTTTCGGGACCGAATACAACTGATGCGGCTGATAATGCTCAATCCGACGAGGTGTCGTACTGGAAAGATTCTCCTGAGGGAGGAATTTTATCAGCGACGCCTCTTGCCGATGTACAGTGGTCATATCCAATGGTTCATCCTGTTCTTTCTCCAGGCCGTACGAGACTGGCAGCGGTGAGAGTGTCAAAGAAGTGCTGTTTTGTCGTGCTTTATCTCGAGTAATGGTAACTGGGAGCTCTAAAAATCTCGAGCTTTCAAAAGCAAAGTCATTTTGACTTTCAAGCCCTGAGCTAAAGTCACCTTTGTCAGTGATCAAACTCTGGTTAAATTGTGTTCCTTGGTGGGCTATTGGTTGGCACCTGAACCGTTTTGCTAAAATCTTATTAGACATATTGAAATCAAAGTTAGGTAAGCGGCTTCCGAAAAACAATTATAACATAATCATTGCCTTCTTTTCGTTCAACGTCAGAAAATAATCTTCTATTGTCTAATCTTTTCACAAGAATAAAATGATCTAAAATACGTCTAAATTGCATCCAATGGTACTTTTATCGATTTGAATTATAATATGATACTTACTCCGCCTCTAATATTATGTGCAAAGCCATTGGCCAGTGTCACCGATTCCTTAATGATTCAACCAATGACAGCTTTGAGAATTTATAGCGCGAGCTGTTATAGTCACTGACATGCGTACATCAAATCAAGTAAGGTGCCATGAAATCAGAATTAGGAAGCTGCCTTTTTCAAAGCAGTCTCATTCATTCCTTCGTAAGGAGCACACAATACCTAAAAGTTTCTTACATAATAAATAAATAAAATTTAGAAAAGCGAAAACATAGAGGTTCTCCTTTTATTTGGCACTGTCCGCATTGTGAAAAGTGGGTCGATCTCTTCATTAACATTAATAATAGTTTTTTTAATTATTTTTACTTTGTGGAGCTTTACTTATACCAAATGTAGTTCTATAAAAAGCGGCCGATCTGTTAGAAAGAAAAAATAAACTTTCGTAGCATCACATTTGTTATGCAAAGGGACCTTATTTCAACACTTTTATAAAAACAAATTACAAGCGACATCAAATTTCAGTTCTTGAGCATCGACCCATAATATATGATGATAAGGTCAAATTAATCTAACCCCTTGTCGAATTCGAAAAAGTTAACAATTACTGACACATTTTATGGCCTGTAAAAGTTTAAAAAAACATGAAGGCTAGATAGAAGTTTTCATATTCAAACTCATCAGAATGTAAAATTATGTTAGTTTTTGACGATATCTCTATCAAACCATACAAAACGTTTATTGACATGCTAAAGGCATATTTTCAAATACTTCCTTAGCGTCACAATATAATTTATTACATATATTACTTTTGTACCCAAGCACGTTATCCTAATGCAATAGTAAACTAACAAACAACGATTAATTAGCATAATGATAATTAGTTTATGTAGAGAATACATTACATATACAGGTTATTGCGAAGAACTTCAGACTTGAAAAAAAATGTGTGTACACATATATGTCGGATGTAAATAGACGCCCAGGACGTAGGCATGCGAAATCTACATCAAAAAGCCAACTTCATTAGTGTCATTTAATGTGAATCCTTCTGTGACATCAGATAAAATATGAGCAAAATCGGAGATTTTCTGAACAACAGTGACTACCTTCTTCCAGGGACGTTGTGTATGTTATTCCATACTTTTAGGGGGGCATGTTGGGTTTTGGGGCAAAAGTCTCCAATGACTTACATCTATATTTAATTAAACACTGAGGATCAAGTCTAAATCCAGCAAATAACATGAGTGGATTGATGTCCGACAATTAACTTGTTCATGGTAACCCAAAGGTTCTTCGACTTTCTACTAGGTGACTGAAAGTGCTCAATGGCATGTCTATCTACTTTTAACTTTACCTGTAAGTATAACTCCAACAATATATTAGATAACAGTCGTTATCTGATATAAGTATCTAAGCTGTTGAAGGTCTTAATTTGTGAAGGGAGGGCTATGACTCCAACAATATATTAGGGCTGTGGAAGAATTTAGCGAATTATTGTTTGTTTCAGAATTTACGCGCAAAGCTGTACGAGTCAAGGTAGGATAAAACAATAAATATAATTCATGTGTATTAGGGGTAATTGTAGGTATTCTTAATTCATTTTATAATAACCTTTTTGGAATACCACTATAAGTAACAACAGATAATTTGTTTTATAGTCCTCCAATATGTTTTCATAGTATAGTAAATATATAAATATTATAACCAGAGAGCGCTACGCGGGGCGTCGCTAGTTACCAAGCCGAATTCAAAACTTGGTCCCCAGGAAGCAGCTACTAGTCAAAATAATTAAAACATAATTACAAAACAATATATTATAGTTTACATAAGATAGACGTGTGGCAATGTTTAATACATCTGGGATACAAGTAGATTCTCGTATTCTTCTTACAGACACATGGTAATTGTTGGTGATGTGGTATCTTATGTAACACAAATGTTTCACGTGCTACGATAAAGAACTAACTTACCTTATCAAAATATTGCACAGAGTTTAAAAGAGTAAAAGATTACTTAAAAACCCTGACTTCGATCTTATTCAAGAAACTTTTTAATTTTTGTGATCATCTGAAATACACTTTAATCATACTAAACAATAAGTTTTTGAGCCACTGTCTTAAATAAATTGTCATCTGAAAATATTGTAGAAGAATTTTTTTACAGTCAATATAAAATCACAAGATCCATATGAAAATTAACTTGATAGTTTGAACTAAAATCAACTTGTGAAGAAACTCTGGAAAAATATTAGTTTATAATTTTAATATTATTTTGATACTGACATGTAGCAAGCGGTTACTAAAGGACGTACTGTAAGAGCTGCATATCTCGTGTTATGAATATAAATAATATTCTGACATTCAAATATATGATTATACTTTTATTTTATAAGTTAAACAAATTCTTACCTTGATGAAAAAAAAAAATGTAAGAAAAAAAAAAGACTGATAATTTAGTCTTAAGACCCAAGAAACATAGGAATGAATTATTGTTGTCTTTATAGCTACTGCCAGTAATAATGGGAAGAAGTACCGTAGGACTGAAATTCCACCAAACAGCCCTATTAAAAACTTGATTTTATATCTAATTCCGGCTGGTTCTCTGTTGTGTATACATATATTCATAGATAGATAGATAAGATATACGATAGGGTATTTCTTATGGTTGACTCCTGGAATATGAGTTGCCACCTTTTCAGTTTTTAAGTGGTGTAACACAACACAAATGTTCCCTTAGGCTTAACAGATACTAATTGTGTGAAAGTTAACACCAACCCTCGTTCACTACACTCACTGAAGTTAATTGTTAAATGTGTACTGCTCATTAGGTTGTCACGGATTGTGTACATGCACTCACCTGGCATAAAGCAAGTAAAACTTAATTCTGTCTGCAATGGAAATAATTTTCACAGCGACATTTACTTCCAAAATAATACCCATACTTTTAATTAAAAATACACGGAGCTGAAAATGACTAACATAATCACTAGCTTACTGAAGTAAGAACTCAGACAACAATGGTTTTAGTATAGGTGACACGAGTTCGGAAAACTTCAATAAGAATTGATTTATTATAGGTATAATTAAGAATTAATCTAATATAATATTAACTTATGTTATTTAGATTTTAATTCATATATATATATATAGAGAGAGAGAGATAAATAATATCCGTTATTCCTGGAAGGATGTTTTCTTAAGATTTATTTAGCATCTTCGTATAATATAATCAGGATTCAAATTTAAGGTTATAATAACTTAAGGATAAACCAAGCTCAAGTTACCTAATCTCCGCAAGAAACATAGATTCGAGGACCTAGTATGTGAAAGGGCAGATGTAGTGATTTGTCGTGGTGGAAAGAAAGAGACAGGAGTTGGAGTGTAGCTGAAACAAAAATAAACACTTTTTCTATCAACAACTTTTACAGTAGGCAGGTTCTGAATTTAATCATTACAACACTTCAGCCCATACTGTCTAGTCATTACCAAATAAAGACAGTTGAATTCTAGAGAACGTTACAGACTTGATAATTTGAGGACAAGTTTGTAGGTGACGTGAAATTAGTTTTTTTTTTAAAGAAAAATGAGGTGGGTAAGATATTAATATAGATAAAGAGGGTTCCTGGATATTCTTCGTTGGATTTGATAACATTATCAGTAACGTTTCAGCTATTTTTCTTGTACTGATGTATGGTTTTCTTCGGATGATTTCAACATTGTTTTCAATTATATGTTTTATTCCTTTGAGATGTTTAAAAACATGCGAGGACTCTTTAAAAATGTTTCTTAAGTCTAGGATTCATTTCTCTCCCAGTGTCTCTTATATAAAAGTATTTACATGAGTTGCATTTGATTTTGTAAATGGCTCTGTTGTTTTTATTTTCAGTTGGGTAATTGTTAGTAAAAAGGTTCTTGATTATAATACCTGGCTTTTGTATGACTGTAGTATTTATGTTTATCTTGTGTTTCTTCGTGAGTCATTTCCATAATCCAATTATGATTTCGCAAAATTTCTACATCCTCATCAAGCCTTCTAACCTTGTTTAACATTGCCACGATGATCTTTGTGTTTTAAATTCAACGACATCACATACGTGTTAAATCGACGGCGTCAGTATGGGCGGAAAGTTATCAAGTGCACTAGCAAACACATTTTTATTTCAATTAGAAAAGCAAGCTTTAAACACAGTCATCTTTAAACCTTATATTGCTTGATATATGTCGACGAGCTTTCCCGCCTTCAACTCTGACGAAGAAAAAGAAAGATTCTCAAACTACATCAGCAAACATACATCCCATAATTCATTTTACAACTGAAAATGAAGTAAATTTCCCAATAAACTTTTTGCAACAGTAGAAAACAATCATAATTTGAGATTAAAACTCATAGAAGAGCAAGAAGCTCAGAACAATACCTTAACTGGAAATCCGCCCACTCCAAACAACAGCAACTAGGAACATTAGAGTGTATTATACAATCATCCGCATTAAATATGTGCTCTTCAAATAATTTAGACGATAAACTATAAAGAATTTCTTCAATCTTTGTTAAAAAAATCTTTCGAAATTTGCTGTTAAAAACATTATCAACATACCACAAAACAAAACAAGAATGCCAAAACAAAATAAAAAATACGAATCTGAAAGATGAAAAAGACTTCATATTTATCACCACTAGAATTCCTTACGTCCACCACCCTCAGCAAAAACTAAATTAGATTATGAAAACTATTCATTAAGAAACACAAAATCGACCTAATTACCATAATCATACAGAAACCAGATATTAAAATCAAGAACCCTATCATTAAAATTTACACCGTTG